AATCGGGATGTTAATTTTATTTTAGACAATTCAGTGGTTTGATGCTAACAAAATAAAATGTTGCGATACTTAAAAATAATTTTTTATCTTATTTTCACTGGAGAAGATGCACATCAATTTATCCGACCTGTCTAGATGTGATATATACGACTTAGACATCTCATATATACTTGTAAAATGCTTATGTCAAGAGTAAAAAAAATATAGATGTTATCACAAATATGTGATAAGTTATAGAACAAATTTCAAACATAAACATTTTACGACACTACTTACGACGTTGCAATCGTCTTAAAAAATCGTTCGCAGAATTTTACATCGTATTTGTGAAATTACATAAAAACTTTATACATCTCTCCTTGTTTGTATTCTGACAATTAAATGTAAAAGAATGCGCACAACGTACATAGCACAAAAGTCAATTATTGTTATTAATCCGCAAAGCGGAAACGCCGAAGAGAAAATGATTGCATTACGCGCATAAAGAGTCCTTAATCTGTTATGTTAACCAATCAGCCAAACCGCATTGAAATCGACGGGGAGATTGACTCCAATAATAATTAAACATTAACCACCATTCGCTAACCATGTTTGTGTATTTCGCGTTTAAACAGTTTGCACCGTAGCAATTAAATGTCGGTATTCTAAAATTAAGCTAGTCAATTTCTAATTGTTTTTATCGACAGTGACGTTTTTTCAATATAATTGATAGCTTTCCTAAAATTAAAAACAAAAAACAACTCATCTTTTTTTCTTTCTAATGACGCTTGTAATTTGATCTCTTAGTTAAAATTGGCAGAACTTTGTAAGACAAGCGAGGCAAAAGGGTTAAGCATCGAAGAGAATGTTGGTGTACTAGGTATTTTCCGAACAACATTCTATATCGACGCTCTCTGCCGAGCGAACCGTTATTGCTCGTTTCAGCATCGATCGAGCGCGCCTTGTGGGACCGTTGTGTGTTCACGAGGAATCTCAATAAGTCTTTCTCTTCTGTATTCCCTTTTCTTAACAGAAGTGCCGGCACCGACACTCTTTCTGATGTCGAAAGAGAAGCGCCTTTACTATCTCAAAACGACGAAAGGAGGTTGGGAAAGAAAGGAGCGAAAACGAGTCCGACGTGAGTGGCTACCGAATGCTAAAACAGGACATAATGCTCTCTACGCGCGAGGATTCAGTTTCACGTATACAACGGTTGATAAATAAGTATCGCGGGGATGAAAAGACGAGAGAGTGGGTGGTTGAAGCTACGTTAGAAGTCGGCAGTAAAGAAAAGTAACGCCGTCCCGTAAAAGAGAATCAATTCGATTCGTACTCTTTCTCTATCGCACTCTCACCACTCCGGTATCCTTCCTCGCCTCGCTTCATACCCTCGGCAAGTTTCACGCCGCCCCACTCTGGTAGTTTCTTTCCAACCTTCGTAGTCGACCTCCTCGCCACCCTCCGCCCCGGTGGCGCAACAAGTGCGTCCCGACTCGCATCTTTAAGAAAGCGGTCGTACTCCCCCGGACTTTCTCTCCCGTTCTTACCATCTCCGCGCTTTACCACTTCCCTTTTATCCCCCGCACCGCTCAAGCTACCGCGCTACCGTCACGTTCGACGGTATAGCCGAGCGTTTTTCTCTTCGTCTTTTTTCTCAGCGCTGTCTTCCCCGAACCGCGCTCTCGTTTCCCTTTCTCTCACCCGAGGTATCATCCCTCATCCTTCGGTCGGCCCGCAACCACCTTCCAAATCACTCCGAACTGTCTCTCTTTTTTATCTGTCGTTCTCTCGCGCAGCGTTTACGCCAACCATCCTCTTCGTGGCTCGACGCTTTCTTCTGTTCGCTTTGCTCCCTGCTCCCCTCACACCGACGCTGTATCATCTCTTGTTTTTCGTATTCCTCGCTCGACAGTACATTTCGTGTGTGTAGTAGTACACGCGCGGAGGATGGGCGAGTGCAACGAGCGAAACACGGTGAGAGAGGGTGGCAAAGACGATGCTGAAAGACAGACTTCGCGGCTCGACTAACACGAATCCAAGGCGTCGATTCGAGAATTTTCGCGGACACTTCGCGGCTGCGAACCTACACAATGCCGCGAGATGAACAAAATGACTATTCGCTCTGTGTGATTGTTCAAGAGCGAGCTTCATAACTAAAATCACTTCAGAACGTGAAATTTTCAAAAAACTTCTTGTACTTACTGTAATTTCTTGTATTACTGTAATTGCAATATTGAAATAATGATATGATGTAACTTATATAAACAACTTATTAGATAAATCACACAGTATCTAATCGAAGAGAAAACGCACGCGTAATATAAACGAGAAATTGTAAATCAAGTATCGAGCTACGGGTTTTTTTAAAAATAAAAATTACTTCTTTTGAAGCAACATATTTTTTCGCGTAATTCCTTCCTCTTGTTTCTTTCTTGCTCTCATTACTCGTTCACATATGTTTCCTGATATTATTTCGGATCACGATGCTTAAGTCCGAGTTAAATATGAAATAAAATGCGGGATTTGGATGATAAAAGCGAGAAATTTAATGAATACTTTGACACGTTACCAAATACTGCAACTACGCGAACATCTGCGACCCTGTCGAACGCGACATCGGATCGTCATTCGATGAAACACGTTGAATTTATTGGCGGTTTAATGCCGCTCGGGGACGTTTATAGGAGCGCAATAAATAAACTCGAGCGCGCTATTACGAGTGACAGCAGCGTTAGCCGGAGGTCGAAGTGCTACACACGGGAACATTGTATTGCAGAGTCCGGCGCGCAAAAACGCCAGTCTGACGCAGCTCGACTAACATTTTTACCTGACGTAATTGCAACGTGCTGCAATTAATAAAGGAAGTCAAACGGACATTTCACTGAAAACGAGTCTTTTTCTATTTGAAAAAGATAAATTAAATCCCATAAAATTAATCGTATAAACGATTCTGTCGCCATTTTATACATGTAAGTGCGTTTAAAAAATGTTCAAGATTTGAATTGACGATACCAGATCGAAGGATATAAATGTCATTTCCCCTCCAGTTAACTATTAACTTATCTTGGCAAGATTACAAGACTGTTTGATTACATCGTGACTTGAAAATAAACGAACATACAGGAAAGCACGAAGACACGTTGACGTTGTCGTTTTCGATCCCGAAGACGCGCAAGTTCTCGAGAACCATCCGCCGTCACGATGATCTACGAAGCGACCAAGCGGATGTGCTAGTTTAACGATCAGGAAATTCGACGAAAAGGAAAGTTATTAATGGCCAAAGTTGGACGATGTCGGGAACGACCTGCGCGCGACGGGGTTGAACCCTCTCGATTACAAAGCGCGTGCGAGAAGTGTAACTATACGAGCGAGAGTGGGGTTACAAATTACGCTCGAAAGTTGAGCCACTGCTCCAGCAGCGGGATAATGGATTTCGGAATAAACGAAACTACATCCCGAAGACTATAATTTAAACTGATGCCACGCTACGCGAAACCTGTGACTCCGCTTTTGTCACGCGCTTTCGACCCGAGTCCGGCGCCGAAGCTGCGAAGTGGCAGGAAATCAATCGGACAATCCGAGACACTTCGGGATTCTATGAACGAGAGAATGTTTGTGTTCCGGTAACGCGTTTGGACGCGAGAAAGAGATAAATAGATAGAGTAGGAGGAAAAGAGAGAGAGAAAGAAAGAAAAAGAGAAAAGCATCGTGTATTTGGAAAGTAACAAATACGCTTGTAGTGTTTGTAAAACGAGTCGTTTCGAGAACGGAACTCGAAAATCGAATAAAAAATACGGTCTGTTCGTATGACCTTTTTGCGTGAAACTGTGGCAATTCACATTTTTTACAGGCCATCTGTATTATGTTCTAAGGTGTTACAGAACAAAGTCTTTTACTTTAGTAAATAGTATAAAGAAAATAATTAGAACACACGCATTGCTTAAATTATTATATAAAAATTGTCCCGAGTGTACATTGTTTTGTGTGACCACAAATCATATAGTTTGTAAAATTCTTCAACGTTTTTTAAAAAATAATTATTAAATTCTTTGGATTTGTAAGTGTACATTGAAGATCTCTCTCTCTCTCTCTTTGTTTATTCTATGTAAACATTTCTAATTCACGTGTTGAAAAACTTTGCTCAACGAGCAAAGCGTATTGCATAAAACGTAACGTATCCAGTGAAAGAAACGATTGTTAAAAAATGCGTATTATTTGCTTGACATTTGCACAACCCAACGTTGTCTCTATAATGAAAAAAAAAAAAGAAATTTTTCGCAAATATACAATCTCAAATTAGACGAATCTCGTTACGAAGTGTAAAAAGCACACACTGCGAATGCAACACATTTGAATTGTAGAACATAAACTCGTTCGCGTAATAGGTCCACACGTTTATTTCCACGCGAGGGCAGTCGTATGCAAAGTTGTAACGCAGATTACAACTTGCGTGTCACGCTTGTGTCGTTACACGACACATTGTTAAATTCCGCGTGCGATCTGAAATAACCGTGTCACGTTCTTCGTCACATGGCAGCGACATAACTTCCGCTGTTTTATCGCTATAATGAATTGTATGAAAGTCTTATCATTTTTAACGAATGTTTTATGTTTTTTACGAAACATATCGCGTATCCTGGTTGACAGCAATTTCATTCAAGCAGTTTTAACCGCAGTCAATAATGCAAACCGTAACAATAAACTACGCATTTCACGTAATATTTTTAACGCAATACCTTTTATGATAATTATCAGTGAGAGCGTCCTTCTGTTTTGATAACTTTTATTTCGAGATCCGAGATTTCAATCAGTGAATCCGAGATTCATTAAACCCCGATGTTGGAGCTTTGTAAACCGAACGATTTAAGGTCGAAGAAATTGATTTTTAAAGCGCGCGGCCAGATTACCATCGTAACAAGCGCGCGCGCGCGCGCGGAATCATTTGCATAGGCATGACTCACGAGGTTCGCTGAATTTGTGCGAACTGAAAGCACTTGCAAGCCTCTTGTGTTCTTACTCACCGCGAACAAGGATGAGGATGCTGAACAGCAGCGCGGTGCTGAACGGCCAACCGGCCATCCTGGCGTAGAGCGTTACGTCGATTCAGCTTCCTCCTGAAACAATACAAGCGTGCCCAATCAATCAACCTATCCGCTGTGCTGTTATCCGAGAGCCAACTCGGATCTCTGCCATCCCCGTTCCTCTCCCCTTCTCTCTGTCCCCTCTTCCCTTCGCCTCTTCGTTCCTAACGCAAACCCGTTGTCTGTCCCCCGTCCTCGTCGTTCGGGCCTCGTCCCACCTTTCGATTCCTCCCCAACCCTTCTGTACTTTCCTGGCAGACTGCCCGTTCCACGGCCCCAACCTCACCATACCAATCCCTTTTCAACCCCGTCCCGCTTACACGCCAATCCCCTACGTCCCGTATCGACAATTTTTTCCCTCCCTCTCGAATCCGTGCCTGGGGGCTGGTCCGCTCAATGAAAGTCCTCCCAGACGGTGCGTGTCGAGCGACGTACATAATCGTGAAACATGCGATGCGTGCCACTAGCTTGGAGCTCGGCTATCGGAAATGCCCTCTCTCGCTTTTGCGCGCGCGCTTTTTTTTTTTTTCACCGCTCGACGCGAGCCGCGGAGGTCCTCGACCTCGCCGAGGTTCTTCAACAGCTTCACTGGATGGCTCTAGGCGTATTAACGGTGGTTTCTTTACCGTGAAAAGCCATATTTGACACAAAGAAAATGAGAATCAAATGATTATCTTTGACATCAAGAATTGCTTTCTCGACCAAAACGACGATCTTAAGTATTTGAAAAGAGAGTAGCTCTTTAACCGTCTAAAAGTAATTTACAAGATGGTCGGATTTATTTCTCAATAAATAAGGTCTCTCTGTAAAGAAAAGATATGCTTCAAAAATTTGCAAATTGTTGCTTGCACACTTTGAGAATCTGACAATGAGCTGTACTTGAAATGACACAGTGCGATGAGATAGTGCGACACATTGATATAGTTTCGTCAAACGGGAATGTCGGTTTCCGGCCGCGGAAGTGTTGCCAAGATGTTCACTTTTATATATTGCGCGTGATGTCTTTTTCGTAAAATATCTGTCGTTTTTTTGTCGCGTCTCTCGCAAACTTCATTCAAAGAGGCCGAATCTGGAGCATTCAATTCGCTTCACGGCGCCACAGTTTCACGACCAAAGCCAAAGGGTGAGCCGCACGACCCTTATGCACTTCGCACGCGTGCATATACGAGCGATCTATAAGGCGCTTCTTCTCGCGCTCTCTCATCTTCTATGTTGAATATTTTTCGAGCGTCTCGTGCGCGCCGTGAAGCGAATATAAAGGGCCTGCAAGGAATACACTTGCATCCCACTCAGTAGAAGCTTTAATTAAAAATGTAACGTTTTATCAAGTAAAACTCTCTAGACTAATTTGTCACTGCATAGAAAACATAAATTTTTAATTATATTTTGAAGTAATTTTAATCATATTTTAGTAACAAAAAATATCAGAGACATCCTTTCTTTTTCTCTTACACATTGCTTTAATTTTTACTAAACTTCTAACTAAATCTCATGTTTATGAAAAACTCTCCAATTTTAAATTAAAATTTTTATACTATTTTGTGTCACACAAACACACACATGCGCATATGTTACTATTCTTAAATCGATATCCATCTTTATTTCTGCGTACATAAAGAGTAAAAGAAATTTGTATAATATGCTTGGAACTATTGACAGAAAATGGAATTTTGAAAACAAACCTAGCTCTGAAAAATGCTGCTATGTTTTTTAAATTTTATTTTCTTTGCTAGCCGAGACATCTCTAAAAATGACTTAAACATGCTGGATTACCATTGCAAAGAGTTACCTACAATTTTAAAAAATCCTAAACGAAGAAAAAACGCTCACAGAACGTATACAGGTGCGCGTCGCTCGTGTCCTGGAAGAGCTAAGCGAGATATATTCGTGCGTCTTCCTGTTGCGCAAAGCTGTTCTTCTTCCTAGCAGCGCACCAATGAAACGAGCCACCAGAAAGCAATTCCGCCGCGCTCACAATTAAGTTTACGAACGAGATCGAGTGTTCGACGTACAATTTCCTCCCGGCACGATGCGCGATAGAAACAACGAAAACAGTCAAGAAAAAACAGGCGGGAAAAACTGATCGCGCGGGTGAATTGAATTGTGAACTTAATAATATACGAGTATGAGAACCGGTTATTTCTAAGCAAATTGTCCATACTTTCAGAGAAGCTTGAATATTTATAATTAAGAAAAAAAAATACAGTTTAAAAAAATATTTAAAAAAATCAAAATTCTTTACAAAAATTTCTATGTTCAATTTGTCCTGTTTTATTCTTTAATCTAGTATCTTTTGAAAAATGATTAGCAACCATTTGGCCAAAGGATCATCATAACTTACGGTGTAATCTTCTCAAAACTCTAAGTCGTCTTTCTAAATTCCAGAATTCCTATAAGTACTTGCATTTTCATAATGCAAGCTACGAAACTAATTAGCGTGTTATGGTTTGCGTGAGCACGTAATGCGATATTAAATGTAACGTCGCGGCAGCGAGTTCATGTTTAAAGGCTACGGTAACGGCGGATGGGGAATTAGATGCACGTGCCCGAATGCGAGAGGAGACCGTCTAATAATTCACGCAGCGGCGAGAACAAAACGGCACCATAAACTCGCCTTCCTAAATCACTTGCTCGCGGCCCGTGGGGAATTTCTGGCGAGAATATTCCATAAAGATCGGCCTTAGACGCGATGAATCAAATTGTGGCGGCGCGGCATGTCGAACGAATAATCGCGAAACTACCGACTGTTCTTCGCGCGCGTTCGGGTTTTCGCACTTTGCGCCAGTTGACCTCACGTATCTTCTTTGCGAGATTATTCGCATGAATAATACGATATTTCCGTGCCGCGGACCAGATGCAGATTCCGTTTCCGCACAAGCCGCGGTAGATTCGCGAATTTACGACTTGTTTTATAACTTTCGGCCCTGTCGGAATTGTTGCGAGATTGTATCTACACGGCAGCCCGCGATTTGCGGCGTTAATGCGTTCCTGAAAACCGGAGAATGAAATATAATACAATGAATGAGCGAAATAAAATACGGCTCGTTGCAAATAATGATATCTCGTCGTTGTGGTGAAAATAATTTAATTGTTGAGTATTCGACAAGAGAGAAAGGAAGAGAAAAAGGTTCGCGTGATGAGAAATAATTAAAAACTCCGAAACTTTTCCTGAAGTACTACCGTTGAAACATCTCATTTTTGTGAAACAAACGATTTCAAACAAAGTGAAAATACCGAAATGTATGTAAACTTTACACAGCGACAAAATAAAAGCAAAAAAAATTCACTGTGTTCAGCTTCTGTTTAATCATTTTTTTATACCTTCATGCCGCCAGAGCAGTTTTTATGCAACGCGGATCGTTAGCGTGCGTTATCAGCGACAGATTTTTTTTGTCTATAGTACCAGCCGCATTAAACCGTTCAAAGGTCTCGACATCTCGCGCAGGTGTATTCATTTGCCGTCGCTGCTACGGAATTAATACCGGCCGGCTTAATGGAAGGCAGGAAACAACGGAACGCCGCGACAACAACGAAAAAAAAGATGACAGTGGTGGGAAACCATGGCGATGGTTTCATTCCGATGCCGTTATCACCACCGTCGCCGGCATCAAGGGTATATTCTTCTGCCTGGCGAGTCCTCACGCGAGTTCTTATTTCCCGTTTCTCTCGTCACCCTCGTGTCTTCGCCATCGCGCGCATTCATCTATCCACGTCCTGCCTCCGCTTCGACAATCCTTCTTTTTGCCATCTCGCTTGGAACATCTTGACGGAAAATCTTGATTATATCACGGCGTGACAACACAATACTGGATCTTTGCATCTTAAGAAATTACTACACGCAATTGTAATTATTACGAAGGTTGCTAGTTCGTTTGTGTATTCTTGAGAACGTGCCAGACGGTTAGAAGACAAATGACAAGAAATTCTATTGTCTTATGCTGTATAATATACTATTATATATATGTCGTCGCGCGCATCAATGTGTACTGAAAAATAATGTGCAAGCCATGACTTACGTAAACAAATATGTTTACATAATGAGGAATTATACATTGTTTACATTCACTGTTACTTTTCAAAGATAAAAGAATAAATTTGTCCGATTACAAACAAATAAGACGTTTAATTACTTTAACAGTTCGCCGTTAATGTTACAATCATGAAATAAAAATGCATTTTTTATTTTACTAGCACAACACAGGCGCGCGCTACGCGCACGCTATTGTTATTTTTATTTAACGTGTTGTCAGTGAACACAATCCGTCACCGCGATGACAGATAGTATATACGTCTTATAAACCATATATATATAATACACATATGAGAAATGTCAGAAATAATAACTATTTTTTGAGTTTGATTTTTATGCGTTATTTCTGACATTTGTCATATGTGTATTATATATATATGGTTTATAAGACGTATATACCGTAACCACGTGACCAAAGTCAGTAACACCGCCGCGGTCGCGCGGCCGAGGTCAATGACCTCGCCAAAGTCGCGCGACCGAGGTCAGTGACCCCGCCAAGGCCGCGCGGCCGAGGTCAGTGACCCCGCCAAGGCCGCGTGGCCGAGGTCAGTGACCCCGCCAAAGTCGCGCGGCGGAGGTCAGTGACATTACTCTGTAGTATGTGTATATAATACATATAATACAATATAAAGTATAATAATATAAATATATAATAAATTATATATGTATAATATGTATTATTTAATGTTATACATAATATAAATTACAGTCACGTTATTTTCACGTGTTGTTTTTCTACTCTTTCCTGTCACGTGACTTTAGTTACGTTTTTAATTTTCTCTACATATACGACGAACTGTCTCAAAATCGCTTTTCATTATTTACTCTCTCAATCTTACCGATTCGATTCGACTCGATCAACCAACCAACCAATCGGCAACGCGGAAAAGAGGCAACAATCAAGATTAATAGAATCGATTCTGATTATTTGCACACGTTTTTTTCTGGTAGGACTAGCACAACACAAGAGCGCGCACGGTGTTATTGTTTTTATTTTAACGTG